TTTTTTTTTTCACATAAGGCACTTGAGTTCCCTGTGTATTCTGGTTATCAGTCCCTTGTCTGAGTCATATTTAACAAAAATATTTTCCCATTCTGAGGTTGTCAGTTCACACTTGTTACTGTGTCCTCTGCTGTGCAGAAACTTCTTAGTCTGATATAGTCGCACTTGTCTATTTTAGGGATTATTGCCTGTGCTTTGGGAGTCTTATTTAAGAAGTCTTTGACTACTTCAATGTCTCCCAGAGTTTCCCCAGCATTTTCCACAAGTAGTTTTGTTGTTTGAGGTCTTAGGTTCAGATCTTTGATCCATTTTGAGTTCATTTTTGTTAATGGTGAAAGATGGGGGTTCAGTTTCATCTTTCTGCAGGTGGATACCCAGTTTTTCCAGCACCATTTACTAAAAAGGTTTTCCTTTTCCCAGTGGATTGATTGATATCCTTTGTCAAAAATCAGTTGGTTGTAAGCTTTGGCGGTTATTTCTGGGGTCTCTAAAAATTTTGTGTCATCCTTGTGCAGGGGCCATGCTAATCTTCTCTGTATCATTCCAATTTTAGTATATGTGCTGCCAAAGCAAGCACCCAAGATAGTTTTTTTAAGAATTATTTTATTTAACTTTCTTTTTAAAATTTTTTTTTTTAATTTTGACCAGAGAGGTACAGAGCAAGAGAGTGAGAACAAAGAGAGAGGGAACATGAGAAAGCAAGCCCCCAGGTTGAGATTGGAACCACGGTTGACCATGGGGAGTCCAGCACCCTTATCCACCACACTACCTGACAGCTCCCAAGATTGTTTGTTTTTTTTAAAAATAATTATTTATTTAATTTTATTTATTCATCCATTTATTTTAATTTGACCATAGAGAGACGAAGAGAGAGAAAGAGTGAGAAAGCAAGCTGCCAGGTCCGGGACTTGAACCATGGTCAGCCATGTGAGAGTGTTCAGCACCTCAACCACCATGCCACCTGCTGGCCCCAAGATTGGGTTTTTAATTAAGGTGTGTCTGAGCCCAAAGTCTCTGCTATTTCTGTTTCTTCATCAAGTTCCAACCTAGCTGTTTACTGTGGAAAGAATAACTTTGAGTGGGCCAACCATGGTGTGGTGGTTAAGACAGCTGGATCCCACAGGGACAACTGTACGTTTCTTAAGTTCTGGACCTGGAAGCCTCAATACGCACCGGGTACTTGCACATGTGACCAAAATCCCAAAAGGAATGAGAAATGGAGGAGAAGGGATTACAATGTGGCTAACCCCATGGGGGTGCTTTGTCACTTTCCCTCTATGACTCTGTCTCTCTCCAGTGAGCACACACACCCTCTGACAATTGGGGGAGTGAGGAGGAAAGAAGAAAAAATAACCTTGGACAAACTAATTAACCTCTCATTGCCTCAACTTCCCATTTGTAAAATAGGCCTGAAACTGATAGCTAACTTATTCTGGTGATTACATGAGTAATCACCAGCTACCTATTCTGGTGATTACATGAGTTCATGTATAGAAAAGACCTTTAGCACTTTAAGGCACTGTGACTATTTAATATCAATCCTAATCTTGAATTTACAAGTGAATATGATTTTCTTACCATCTAACCTTGTTGGTGTCAGTGGTCCATTTCAGTTTAGCGTGTCTGATTTATATTCCACATTCCTATTCTGATGGTAGCCTGTGGTTGCTGGCCGTGAACTGAATCATCTCTGATCCTTTCTTCCCAGTACTTAGTATCTCCTCTTCCATGGCTACACCTCCTATTGTATGCTTCTCATTGCTGAGGTGTAGGCATTATACAACTGTTCTTCCCTCTGGGATACCAAATGAACAGTCCTTATACACTCCTTTTCAGTAGTGTGCTGGTAAATGTTTAACAACCGAATTTCCAACTGTAGCTCTGACATGAATGCTGGTTGATAATTTCATTTATAACAATGTGTAAGCACAGAGCTAGCAGGTGGCAAAGTGGTTAAGGTACTGGACTTCCACATGGCTGACCACAATTTGAGTCCTGGATCTGGCAGCTTGAAACTTATACTGGGTGCATGTGCATGTGTGCCCAAAATCCCGGGAGGAAGATGGAAGAGAAGGGATTGTGGCTCGGCCATCCACCCCCTGGGGGTGATTTCTCACTTTCCTGCTCACTGTCTTTTTCCTGTGTCTCTGGTGAGCACATGTGCCCTATGGCAAAAACCTTTTTTAAAAAATGAGCAAGAAAAAGTGAAATGACAAAGATATACTTCACAATTTCACTCATTTTTTCATGGTATGAGCAATTTCTTTGAAGAATCAGATAACCGTTTTTGAAAACTAAACTATTACCTCATTATTTGGTGTTATTCATGACACTGCTACAGATATGACACAATTTTACATTTAATCTATCTTAACATTTTTGTAACACTTTGTTAAGTGTAGGTAATTAACAATAAACCAAGTCCTGAGAGTAGAGTTTACCAATTTCCATGGTGTAAATTTTCTCACCATGGCCAATTTCAAGCTACCAATGTGGTATTATTGAATGAGGAACTGGAAGAGTCACAGTAGCATGCCATCCTACAGTATTTCCACCATGTACATATAATAGACATATAATCCAAGAACATAAACATATTAGGTTGTTAGAAAAGTCATGATGTATTTTTTCTGTTTTTTTATGCAAAAATGTGTCAAGACTTTTCCAACAACCCAATAATACAGTATAGTAAACTAATTAGGATGTTTTCACTATTTATTGCCTTTGTGTTTAATTTATTTAATGTTAAATCTAGATCATTTAATTTTTAATTGCTGTGTTTAAAAACCATCTCACCAAATTCCTGAAAACTTAACAATCGGCTTCCACAAGCCAATGCAAGCCAACTCCAGCACACCACCACCTCTGTCCCTCTTCCATCAGCACCAATTGGCCTGATGCCACTCAATGGCCACACCCTTTCTCAGATAGCTCCAACTAATACAGGTCTACATGAATCAAGAGAACATTAGTCAATTCTCAGCTTCTCCAAATAAGCAATGTCAACAGCTTCAGTCTAGTGGAGTGACTTAATGATCTGTTTCCTTCAATAAACTGTGATTTCTGAACTCAATTCAGATACCTGATCATCCTCGTAAGTTGAGAATGAAGCCCGAAGGCGTTCATGATGTAATATGCTAGGTTTAAACTTGGCAAGCAGATGACATTGTGAGGAATAGATTTTCTTAGGCCGATTTTGGGAATTTGGGTGTTTTTTTTTTAAAGTTAAGCCAAGGCAAAAAATAACCCTTGCAACACATCACTTCACAGCTGGTCAGCCTGAGAGAGGCTATTCTGGGATATCCAAGCTAAGGAGCCTCTTTAAACTCCAGGCAAACTGGAATCAGGACGTGGGGTTTCTATTTCTGTCTGTGTCACTGACTTGCCATGTAATCCCTGGTCAGTTACTTCCCAGGCTGATGCCTCAGTTTACCTTCTGGTGAAATCTTTACCTTTGGAGAGTGAAAAAAGACTGAAGGGTTTGAAGTGTTTCTAGAGGTGCTCTTAATCAGTGGAGACTCGAGAGAAGCTAAGCTTAATCTTGTAAGAAATGATGAATGAGCAAGGTTTAACAAAGAGGAGAGGAGTAGGAAGAGGATAGAAGGAAGGTAAAGGAGGAAAGAGGACTTCCAAGCACTGCCCAGCGCAATATTGGAAGAGTGGCTACAGTAAATGGTGTCCAGTGTTCACTTCTCTAGGACAAAGACTGTGTGTAAGATGAGTTGGTTACAGAGCTGGCCCCTTAGCAATAAGGGAGCCTAATTCCAATAGGTCTCATTCCACAGTCAAGTTCCAGCCTGTCAGCTTGGGGTCTGCAGGTGGTATGGTGGTTAAAGCACTGGACTCCCGCACAGCCAACTACGGTTCAAGTCTCAGACCCAGAGGCTTGAAACTCGTGCCAGGTGCATGTGCGTGCATGCCCAAAATCCCTAGAGGAGAATGGAGAAGGGATTGCAACATGGCCATCTCCCCCACCCCAAGGTGGGGGTGATTTCTCACTTTCTCTTCTCCATTTCTGTCTTTCCAGAGAACACACATGCCCTATAGCAAAATTCTCCCAGAAGGAAATTTAAAAACAAAACAAAACACAACACTGGACAAATGTGCATGTGTGCCAAAATCTTGATAGTATGACCACAGTCTACTGGAGAATGCTTTCTTTCTCTCTTTCTCTCTCTCTCCCATCTGTCCCCCTTGCCCGCCTCTGGCAATTAAACAAACAAAAAAGATGAGTTAGTCACAGAAGAAAAAGTAGGCAAGTTGGCATTAGTCAGCACCTTTTGTCTGAATTCGATGAGTTTTCTGAGCAGAGAATGAAGATGACTAGGGAGTAGGTAAACTCGAGGGCAATACCAGCCTCCTAGGCCCCATGTAATATAGTGTCCTGGGCCACTGTATAAGTAACTTCTCTCCTGTTCATCTGTAGACATCACAGTTTTTAAGTAACCAGCCTCTTTTCCAGTGGAAGTGTGAGCAAACCCTTTGGGTGAATGAAGAAGCATTAGACAAGATCACTATATACTTCGTCACAATTTCCGCCATGCTTTCGACTTCTATCATCTCATTTTTCTTGCCAACAGTGTAGAGGGAAGGATCATTATTTCAATTGAACAGCAGAACAAAGGAGACTTATCATTTTTTCATTTTAATTTTTATTTACATATTTATTTGTTTTCAGTTTGTTGTAAGACAAGCACGTGCTTGGCAGAGAGAGGGGGGAAAGTGAGAATCACCCCCTGAGGGAGCTGGCCACACCACAATCCTTTCATCTCCATTTTCCTCTTGAGATTTTGGTCATGCTCACACACATGCCTTGTGTGTTTCTCAAGCCGCCAAGTCCAGGACTTGAACTGGGCAGTTGGCCATGTGGGATCCAGCTATCTTAACCTCCACACCACCTACAGACTCGTTCCCTACAACAGGGACTCAAACCTATCACCTGGTCACAAACTCTGTGCCATAGCTATACCACTCAGTCTCTATTAAACCTAAGCGGTTAGTTAACTTTCCCATCCACAAGCCAAACACCTTTTGAAATAAGAAGTCATTTGATCCCTAGAAAAACTGAATGGCCATTTCCAGTTGTCCATCGCTACAAACTAGAAACTCTCTCTTCCAAATGTTCTCTAGGAAGCCCAAGGATTCTGAATTCCAAAAGCAGCCAGATTTGGATCTCCTCTAGAGAGAAACAGTCCCTCCCTGTGTAGAACATACCCTTCCTCATTGAGCAAGTTCCATGTTTTATAATAACTTTTGCTTACACCGCAAAATTGTCATAGATTATAGGAACACAAAGGCCTTGGAAAAAAGGCCCAGAGCCCCTGGAAGTCATTATTCCTTCCTCTAGCAATTGCTGAGTTAAGCACCATAAATATACTTCCCATCCCGCTCCTCCCCCTCCCCCACCCCTACCTCCATCCCCACCCCCACGATCTGCTGGACATATGTTCAGAAGAAAGCGGACGTGGGGGTGGGAGAGGAAGATTCACATGTTGCGATTCAAGAGCTTGAGTGTTTGAAAAGAAAAAGTGGGGAGAGGGCGGAGAGTTGGAGCCTTAGAAATGGAATAGCCAAAGG